GGTGGATAACGAGGACAGGTGGGCATTGGCAAGGTTGGCAGCCGAGGGAGGGGAGGTCACGATCGCCTGGCTGGGCAGCAGGGCCGTGCCACGTCCACGGGTCACGCCCGGCGGAGGAGCAGGGGTAGGAGGCTGCTGCCTGCCACCAGCACAGCTGAGGCCAGGGGTTGCCCCAGGGAGGGGGATTGAAACTGGGCGAGACCGGGTTGGCCTGTCTCCATGCTCCTTCTGCCCGAGGAGCAGGGGGAAGAGGGCTTGGCTCTGGTGCCAGGGCCGATACCTTGCTGCCCGCCGGGCAAGCGGCAGAAGCAGACTGCCCCGTGCCGTGTCACTGAGGGCTTTCTCCCCCCACAGGCTCCCCACAGAGGCTGCCCACCACGCCGAGGACACGCAGGTCAGTGGAGTCCCGGGGCACAAGCCCCCCCACGATGTCGGGGCATCAGTGAGGCATTGCGTTGGCGTTTGAGTTGCCTGGTTGGGGGCACATGGGGGGACATGCTATAGGGCCAGAGCTGCTGGGAAGGAAAAGGCTGCCACGGCGATAATACCCCTGGCAGGGGACAGCGGGGCCAAGCCCTGGTGCTGACGGGAGCTCTCCTGGGGCGGGGGCCCCTCCGAGCCCCTGCCCAGCTCGCTCGGTGGATGCCAGCGAGATGCACCATGGAAGCAGCAGCGTCGCCTTCTCCACAAAACGGATCGACGCCACTGTCAGAGCAAAGTCCCCTCCGCTGACAGAGGACCTGGAGGCTGATTTGCATAATTAGACATACAGATCAGGTGTTTGAAGTATGGAAATCACACCGGAAGGCCCTGGTGTGTGTTGGGGGGGGCGATGTGCCTTTTTTGCTGCTGTCACTGTTACTTGCCCAGTTTCCTGCTTCTGCACCGCCGGAGCCTGAAGAGCCGGGAAGGTGATTAGCTTGCTTTGCATATGCAGATGAGCTGAATTAGAATGGCTTTGCCTAATGAGGAAGCAGAGCGGGCTGTGTTCAGCAGCTCCTTCACCAGCTGTCCTGTCTCTGCAGGATGCAGGCCAGGCGAGGGCACAGGAGCCTGGGGACAAGCCAGGTACAAAAACATCCCTGGGGCCCGTGTCCGTGGTGCTGTGGGGGCACGGGGCAGTTAGGGGGCAGAGACCCCCCTCCCCAGCTGGGCCCCACGAGTCCCTAAAACCACCTCCCACCTCTTTGCTGATGCAGACAGCAATGACTCGTTTGAATCATTTGACACGTCCAGCCCAGAGGAAGGGGACGAGGCGGGGAGCAGGGAGACCCAGCCGTGCCCGGCCATCACCGTCACTGCACAGGTACGAGGGCAGAGGGCGGCTGGGGGGCTTCGGGCCATGGCAACATCTGTCCCACAGTTGGGGCGAGAACCAGGGCAAGACCCCAGGCGTCCTGGACCTGCCTGCCGGAGCGGGCCGGGTGGCAGGAGGCTGGATGAAAGGGGCGCTGGAACCACGTGCACCCGCAGGGAGGGGGCAAGCACCAGGGTATGGGGTGTGTGGGGCCGGGCTGGCCTCTCACTTGGGGCTGGGGTGCGCCGTGTCCCCCCCAGAGCAACGGGGCCCTGCAGAACGGCCAGGACGGGCTGGTGGAGTCGCCCCCCAGGAGGAACGGCGCGGGACCCCCCCAGACCCTGCTGACCACCAGCTCCTCCATGTCCAGCCTCGGCTCCACGGTACCAGGGTGGGAGCAGGGCTGGGGGCTGGATGTTGCTGGGAGACGGGGGCTTGGATGGAGCAGGGAGCTGCTCCCCCCCTCCTGGCCCCTCTGCATCGCACCTCCAGCCCCCCCGACACCCTGCTCGCTCTTCCCCGCGCGGCTGCAGCTGAGCGGCAGCATGATGAGCCTGTACAGCGAGGGGGACGTGGGCAGCGTGGAGGTGTGCGGCTGCATCCAGCTCTCCCTGCACTACGAGGCCAAGAGGAAGGAGCTGCGTGTCCACGTCGTCCAGTGCCGGGGGCTGGCCGAGGCCAAGAAACAGCGCTCGGACCCGTGAGTGCCGGCGGGGCCCATCTCCGCGGGCCTGATCCTAGTCCCTAGCCCCCAGGCTCGGGGTGCCAGGCGCCCCTGCCTGCCCAGCCCCCTCTGACCCTCTTCCTGGGCATGGCCACACTGCCCTTTGGTGCGGGGGGGGCGCGCGGGGTAGCAGTCTTGTTTGGGTGCAGCTACGCTGGAGTGAGGCTGCCATGTACAGGACAGCGGCAGTGCCAGCCAAGGCTCCTGTATCCTGGTCTAACTGCGTCCGCGCCAGGCGCTGTACAACTGTTGCAGCACAGGGTGTGGAGGAGGGGGGGACTTCTGCTGGGTGCAAGGCAGTGGCAATGGGCCCCAGCCCCGGTCCCTCTGCCTGGCTCCCAGGTATGTCAAGACCTACCTGCTGCCAGACAAGTCCAACCACGGCAAACGCAAAACAACAGTCAAGAAGCGGAGCCTGGACCCTGTCTTCAATGAGATCCTCAAGGTGAGCAGGGTCCCCACCCAGGGGTGTCTGGAGCATCCCCTGCCTGGGTAAGGGGGTTGAGGGCAGGGGTCCAGCCGAGGGGCAGGCGGTGGCATCGGGGAGCCCCTGGTGCCAGCGCCTGCTCTCTGCCCCCGCGGCCGCAGTACAAGATGGAGAAGGACGAGCTCCAGAGCCGCGTGCTCAACGCGTCCGTCTGGCACCATGACACCCTGGGCCGCAACCTCTTCCTGGGCGAGGTGGAGATCGCGCTGAGCACCTGGGACTGGGGCAATGTGCACCCCGAGTGGTTCAACCTCCAGCCCCGGGTGAGGCGCCCCTGCCCCCCACATCCTACCACGCTCAGGCGCTGACCGTCTGCCTGCCTGCCCCTTTCTCCAGCTGGCTAGTTGTTGCCAGCCAGGGGCAAGGGGCTGTACGTCCCCCGCCGTGCCCTCCCCCCATTCCTGCATCTCCCGCTGCCCCTGCACGCACGCACGCTGATCTCCCTGCACCCTTCCCGCAGACGCCGGTCTCCCCCCACGACCTCAGCAGCCGGGGCAAGCTCAACCTAGCGCTCAAGTTCATCCCCGCCGGGGCTGAAGGTAAGACCTGGGCATGCGGCTGCCCTGGGCACCCTCACGCCAGGCGCAGGGGGGATTGGCACGGCCGGGACGGAGAAAGCAGAGATGACTGACACACGCAGGGGCCTGGCGGCAGGAAGGCAATGCACGTGCGTGTCCAGCCAGGGAACGAGCCTGAGCAGGTTGTGGGTGCAAGGGGAGTGGGGGCAAGGAGCTGCCCCTGCCTCAGCACATGCCCCTTCTCGCCCAGGAGCTGGCCTGCCTCCGACGGGGGAGCTGCACATCTGGGTGAAGGATGCCCAGAGCCTCATCCCCATCCGGGGCGGCACCATGGACTCCTCCGTGCAGTGGTGAGGCCTCCAGCAGGGTCGGGGATGCCCGAGGGGGCTGCGAGACGGCTTGGGGGACCAGCAAGGTGGGGGGCAGCTAAGCCTCCAGCTCGTCCTGCTTTCTGGGCTCATGCCATGCTCCTGCCTGCAGCTACGTCCTGCCGGATGACAGCAAGGCGAGCCGCCAGAAGACCCGGGTGGTGAAGCGGAGCCTGACCCCGCTGTTCAACCACACCATGGTGTACGACGGCTTCAAGGCCAAGGACCTCAGCGAGGCCTGTGTCGAGTTCACCCTCTGGCACCACGAGAACTTCTCCAAGCAGCTGCTGGGCGGCCTCCGCCTCAGCCTGGGCACCGGTGAGCCAGGGCCTGGCGGCTGCTGGGCACAGTGGGGGGGACTGGCGCCGCCTGGGCATCTGCATCCACCTCGGGAAGGGCCCAGGTGAGGGTGCAGGGGCCACGTGGGTGACAGTGCCCCTCTCTCCCTGGCAGGGAGCAGCTACGGGCTGCCCGTGCCCTGGATGGACTCTACGGAGGAGGAGCAGCGTGTCTGGGACCGCCTGCTGCAGCAGCCCTGCCTCTGGGTGGAAGCCCTGCTGCCCCTGCGAACCAACCTCACCCCCAGGACTTAGCTCCCCCCTGGCCTGGACTCCCCCTTGCTGCTGGGGATGGCAGGCAGGACTGGCTTCTGATGCCAGGGCGCTGGCCCAGGCGATCCCAGTGAGTCCCAGAGCTGCTGCACCCGACCCATCTTGGAAATAAACCCCCGTGCAACCACGCAAGGCTGGAGATGCTGCCCTGGCGTCTGCGCTCACAGCGCGTGGCACCACATGGAGGGAGGCTGCCCATTGCAGTGGGTACGGGGCAGCCGTCTCCCCTGCCTGGGGGTGCTGAGCCCAGGCAGGATGATGCCCAGCTGGGCTCCGGGCAGCCAGGGCAAGGGGGACCCTGGCTCCCATCACCCGTAACTCCCCACTCTTGTTCTTCCTCTTCCTCCTCCTCATTGCTTGCTTCTTTGAGGTCGTCTTTGCTCTGCGCCCCGGCTGCCAAACCAAGCTCTAGAGGCAATGCCCCAATGAGGAGGTGCCCGCGGGCAAAATAAACAGCTGTTTATTGCTCTGTGCACAGTGCTGCGGTGTCCCTGAGGATGCCATAGGCACCAACCTTGGGGGTGTCCCCATCCCAGGCTGGGGGCCAGCGAGATACTGGAGGCAGGTGTCGGTGGCCCCCCTGCGCAGGGGCGGTGCAAGCAAGCTGGGCCGGTCTGGCCGGGAGGCTCCATCCTCTGCGGCTGGGCAAGGGCCGGAGAAGGTCTCAGTCTGCTCCCCGCTGTGCCAGTGCGGCTTGCCGGTGCTCCAGGATGGCTGCCCACAGCCGGCATACCCACCCACCGCTGCCGGGACAGGGGCAGCCTCGTGAGGCCACGGCCAGGTCCCAGGCTGCCACGTGGCTGTCATGGAGGAGACGGTCCAACCCAGGCCTGGCATCTCCCACCCTGAGCCCCTTCGTCCCAGGAAGGGGCAGCCTGCTCCGGGGACCCAGGGAGGGAGAGCAGGGAGGTGGTACCTGATACCCGTGTACAGCAGGTCGTCCCGCGTGGCGCAGGTCAGCAGGTCGGGCAGGGTGAAGCCATGTGCCAGGAGCTGCAGGGGAGAGGAGGTGCGGGTAGGGGGCTTGGCCAATCCCTTCCCTTCCCCCGACTTCCCCTTGGGCCGGGCAGGGGGCTCCAGGGCCCCGGGGAGGGGGCCTCTGTCGTGGGCCAGCTCTTCTCGACACCCAGGAGGGGAGACACGGGCCATGTGGCTCAGAAGCGGTGGAGGATTCAGCCCCAAACCCACCCTGTCCATGGCCGTGCTCCGGGGGCCCTACCGTTTCGGTCGTGTCCCTGTCAACCCTGTGGTGCTGCAACCAGTCCACGAGGAGGGGATCCGGGGGCTGTGCCTGGCAGGGAGCAGGGATGGCTGGGGGGCAAGGGGCTGGGTGAGTGTCCAGGACCCCAGCAAACCCCGTGCCCAAGGCCACCTTGGCCAGAAGAGAGACCTCTCCACCCATCACGGCTCAGCTCAGCTCAGCCCAGGAGGGTATCGCCCCATGTCCTGCAGCAGACCCCAGGCCCCCTGCCCTCAGCCCCTGCTCACCAATGGGCTGCGACCTCCGCCCGGTGTTGGCATCCTGCTCAGCCACCCGCAACGCCCTCCTCACCAGCCCCTGCCACTCCTGCTCCTTCTGCACCAGCTCCTGCAGCAGCCTGGAGGGGACAAGCCATGATGCTGGGGGCTGGGGGCCAGGGGCTGGCCGCTCCCCTGCCCTCGACGGCTGGGCAGAGCTGTGCAGCACCGCGGCGTGGGCAGCCTCATGCTCCCAAGTGCTGGCCTCACCTGCCTGTCTCCACGCGGAGGTGGCTGAGCTGTGCCAGGAGCAGGGAGGTGCCTGGTGGGTTGGTTTGGGCACCGAGGCTGGCATCACTACCCGGCCTCAGAGCCTCCTCGCTGCCCGTCGTGGCTGGCTGGCTCTTGGTCTCCTCTTGTTCTTCCTCCTCCTCCTCATTGCTTGCTTCTTTGAGGTGGTCTTTGCTCTGTGCCCCGGCTGCCAAACCAAGCTCTAGAGGCAACCAAGAGACATGGCGAGGGGGGTCCAGCACCTGCCTTGCTGCGCTCAGTGCAGCCCCCGAAGCATGCCAATGCCCCAGCTGCAGCTCAGCTAAGGATGCTGTCTTCTCCGACCCCACCCCCCCCC